ACATAATCATAATGTTTATAAACGTGATATAATGTTTGATTACGATATGATATTTTTTGTATAAATCGTATTCTACTCGTCGAGGCCTTTCAAACGATACCCAACATGCCTAAAAAACACATATATTTTTTTTTGAAGTAAAACTTCTTTAAGCTCGTTTACTACAAATTTATTAAAGTGTATATTTTGTGAATAAATCACATAGTTAATTGCAGTATACGGATTCTATTCAAAAAGATATTTCAAACGATACCCAACATGCCTAAAAACACATATAAATTTTTTTGAAGTAAAACTTCTTTAAGCTCGTTTACTACAAATTTATTAAAAGTGTATATTTTGTGAATAAATCACGTAGTTAATTGCAGTATTTGGATTCTATTCAAAAAGACTTTTCATACGATACCCAAACATGTCCAAAAACCATGATTTTGTTTTTTTAAGTAAAACTTCTTTAAGCTCGTTTACTACAAATTTATTAAAAGTGTGTATTTTGTGAATAAATCACATAGTTAATTGCAGTATTCGGATTCTATTCAAAAAGACCTTTCAAATCATACTCAACATGCCAAAAAAACACAATTTAATTTGTTTGAAGTAAAACTTCTTTAAGCTCATTTACAAAAATGCATTAAAAGTGTATATTTAAAGACATTTTATTTGTTACATAAACCTTGAATATTTATTTAAATAATAGAATATTATTGGAATCTTCATAAATATTTCTCATCTGGATCTTATTAGGTTCTTATTGAATTATCAGGAATTATTTGATTATTTGATTTATGGACCGATTTTGGCGCATAACAGACCAATGACAGATTTTCTGGCAAGGCTATGTTATGAAGAATTTCATACTAAATATTGTCAAAAACCATGCGGTTGCTGTGCCAAGCCGAGTGTCAAGTTGTCAAATAGAAAATCTAACCTAGAAACCGCACCAAATGCCAAAAAACGATGTTAGATAACAGGGTCTTTGGACCCAGCTTCATAACATACGAGTGACGTTGCAGTTATGTGTAAAACGCCTGAATGCACAGCAAATACGTGACATTTCGACAGTATTCAGTATGATTCAGTAGCATAATGTATGCAAGTTGGAGCTTAAACATGGCCCTTGCCATAATATTTTGTTAGATTCTTGCCAGAACTGTATCACATCATTGTAACATTACTAGATTTTCATTAGATTCTAACTGTTTACATATTAGATTTCTATTGGAAATTAGGTTGTCAAATATCTCCTTCCGCTTTTTTGCTCTTGGTTTATAATACAAAAAGGCGGAAGGGAGATATTTGACAACCTTATATTTATAGATTCTTAGCAGATTCTCATCAGTATCTTATATCATTTTATCAAAATGCCACTTACCTAGTTTTTATGTAAATTTTCTCTCTCTAGGTATGACACCAAACACGATGGGTATGAATGCAAGTCAGGATGATGGGGCAGGAAACCAGGCCATAAACTCGGGTATGAGTGCGAATCAAATGCCTGGACAAAACATGGGCCAGATGGGTGTGCAAGGAATGGGAAATGCTGGTATGCAGGGCCAAATGATGGGCCAAAACGCAAATATAGGCAAGGGCTCAATCCTGGCATGTCTAATCAAAATAAATAATCAAGGTAAGAAGTGTAATTGATTGAAAATGATTGATTGAAAATTATTATTTAACTAGCTGACCACCCGGCAAACGTTGGTTTTGCTAAATACAGTATATTCTAAACAATTTCTAGAGAATCAAAAATATTAATACTTTTAGTGTATAAGGATTAAGGTTTGAATGCTTGATACAATGAGGTATTATAAAAACAATAAACCCCATTTAGTTTGTCTATATTTTGTCAATATAATTAAACTGGAAGTTTATACACTTTCTATAGAAAACATGGTGTAATCCAATTCAAGTCTTTAATAAAAATTTCATAAAAAGTATATATGTAAGGCAGGGCGAGGCACAAGGTCCAATTTGACTTTGAGCAAATATTAATTATATTATAAAAACCGAACCAATTTTATCACAACAAATAACACATTTTAACCGAACAATTATCTGACTACGTTCAGTAAAACTGTCAGCTACTTCATTATTGTAGAAATGTGCTTTTTTGATGTCTTTCAAAAATTTGTCATAAGCGCAATACATGACGTGGATGCTATAGCATTCACGATTTAAATATGATAATGTGACTACGGAAACTTTTAAAGGGCGCCAACTTTTTCCTTTTTCCATAGTTGCGTAAAATAGAAGCGCAATATTTGTCGTGGATGCTATAGCATTCATCTAGATTCTAGTATATAACGATCAAAATACGATAATACGACTACTCAAACTTTTATTGGGAGCAAACGTGTTAAAATGCTAAAAACACTTTTCAGTTGAAACTCCATCTTTTTTCATAGTCACTAATTTGACGTCGTTGCTATAGCATTCATCTAGTATATAACAATCAAAATCCAATAATTTGATTACTCAAACTTTTATTGGGCGCGAACGTGTTAACGTGCAAGATTACTCTTCAGTTAAAACTGAATTTTTTTTCATAGACTCTAACTTAACGTGGATGCTATAGCATTCATCTAGTATATAACGGTCAAAATACGATAATACGACTACTAAAACTTTTATTGGCGCGAACGTGTTAACGTGCAACATTACTCTTCAGTAAAACTGAATTTTTTTCATAGTCTCTAACTTAACGTGAATGCTATAGCATTCATCTAGTTTATAACGATCAAAATACAATAATTCGATTCCTCAAACTTTTATTGGGCGCGAACGTGTTAAAATGCAAGATTATTTTTCAGTTGAAACTGCATCATTTTCCATAGTCACTATTTGACGTGGATGCTATCTAGTCAATAATTGGACGTAGATGCTATAGCATTCATCTAGTAAAACCATTAAAATATGATTTATGATTTAGAACTTTTTACCCATTAGACGGGGTAACTTGGAACAGCCAGGTGGCAAACAGGTTTAATGCCTTATTTTAATTTTAAATGTATTTTTCAAAATAATTACATTTTTAACTAATGAAAAAACAACACCAACGGAAGAAAATACTTTTATTATAGATTTTAAGATTACCGTTTATCTCCCGATAGCAAAGACATAAGAATCAAGGTTATAGCTGGTTATACATTTTTACCTCTACTTTCAAATATTGTGTTAAACAATGCATTCATGTATTACTATCTATTCTTCGATAAATTCTGAAAAATTATAACTGGGAAAATGTTATTCGACAAATTGTCCCTTTGATCGATACCAAATTTAGGTTCTGAATTTAAACAACATAAATAAAAAAATAATATAACCTAGAAAATGTTTTATAAATACCAATGAGTATATAATTATACAAATGAGATCTTTCAGAGCACCGTGTTTGAGAAAAATATGATTGCAAAAAGTGCATTTTCATATTAACATTTCAAAAAAGTTGATATTGTTGAGTTTCTCGTAACACTTGCGGCCCTACTACATGATTTTACTGAATTGCAAATTTACAGCTGTTTTTGTAAGAAACACGTGTGATTTTTATTTTTATAATTTAGTACACAAGAAATAATACTAAAATTTGTAACTCTAGTATAACGTTTTATATTTTTAAATATTTTTCAAAATACTCATGAAACCGTGGACTTGCAACTATTGCAAGAGTGCATTTGTATACAAAATTGCACATTTATAGCTTTTTTTGTTAGAAACATATGTGATTTTATATTTTATAATTGAATACATACATTAGGTAATAACATACTAAAATTTCATAGCTCTAGTATAATATTTTATATTTTTAAAACATTTTTCAAAAGTACGTCTCATATCATATCCAACCGTCAATTCGCAACTAATAAAATAGAGTATGCAAGTGTGCATTGCCATTTTTAGTTTCTTCTGTTAGAAACATATGTGATTTTATATTTTTATAATTCAGTACACATATTAGAAATAACATAGTTCAATTTCATAACTTTATTACAACGCTTTATATTTTTAAAATATATTTTAAGCCGTCAATTTGTTTTCGTCGCAACGTTTACTACAGTTTTTGTATATAAATAAAACTACAAACAAAACTACTTACTACAATTTAATCATAATTAAATAATATTCACGTAAAACATCCTATTAAACATCATCCGTCAAAAACGTTTGACACTTGACGTATTAGCCACCGTCCATTGTTTTATTTAAATTACGCTTCTACAAAAATGTTCAAATTAAAAATGTAAAGTTTCTACGCGATTTTGAAATAATATCTCACCTTTCCGACAACCTACTGATTAGCACGATTTTTTAAAGACTAAGACTGGCCAAATCGGTTTAGCCGTTTTCGAGTTTTACCGAATCATTTGAACGAGAGCTCCATTTTTATATATAAGATAATATATATATATATATATATATATATATATATATATACATATATATAAATATATAAATAATCATTGTGTTGTTTTCTAAAGGTATGGGCAGTCAGGCCAGCAACCAGGTGATGGCCGGGCAAAATATTAGTGGGGCACAACAAGCAATGTTCCAGAATCAGCAATATGGAAATATGCCTCAAGGTTTGTTTCGCATTTACTTTGGAAAATTAGATTAGATTACAAGATTTGTAAAATTTTGTTCACTTTTCATAGGTATGAACCAAAATTACCCTGGTTACACTGGACAACCTACTAACCAGCAGGCTATGATGGGCGGATTTCAAGGCCAACAGCAGTTTACTAATCAACAGGTAATTTGACTTTGACCAAGTTTCTTAAAATTTATTTCGACTTACAAATTTTTATTTTAGAATACGGCTATGATGAATCAGCAGCAACGCAATGCACATGCAGAATATATGGCGCAGAGGGTGAATAGAGGATCGTATATGCAGCAGGTGAATAGAATTACAAAATTTCTACATATTAGTCGCATTTGTTTTCATAATTAATTTTATATTATTTGTTTTTTTTTCAGCAGCAAGCACCAAATGTGACATGAACACGATGGGTGGACCTGCACCTCCGTATCCAAGGGGCGGTCAACCTGGATCTCAAAATCAAGTACCACAATTTCCTCAGGTAAAAAGTTAAAAAAATACGATTTTATCCATATACGAATCGAAAATAATGTTTTGTATTTATCAAATGACATTTTTTCGGGAATAATTCAGATTTCCAAATTTTAATTCGATACGAAAGTTTTACACCTCACATATTTGCAAAAAAAAAAAAAAAAATAACATTGTAATATATTTGCGATTAAATTTTATGTTTTTATTACAATATAATCATTATTTGTATAAATCGTTTTCTACTTGTCGAGACCTTTTAAACGATACCCCACATGCGATAAAAATACACTCTAAAATTTTTGAAGTAAAACTTCTTTATGCACGTTTACTACAAATTCATTAAAAGTGTATATTTTGTGGACAAATCGCTTAGTTAATTGCAGTATTTGGATAATAGTTAGATTTAAATTTAACCTACTATAACTAATTTAATATTTTAATATTTGATATAAATTTCACGTGTGTGCGTTTATATAAAAGCACTACACTTACTCGAACAAAAGAATTAGTTTGATTGTGCAAAAACAGTAACCAGAGACGTAGAAAAATCATCTACAATCTTATAAAATCCGTCACAAAATTATAAATCTTACACCTTATATTACATCGATTGCTAGTCGAGCGCAAAATAAGTGCTCAAACATAAAAGGGACTGTGTGACGTCACATGTCTGAGCGAACGTTGCCGACGACAATCGTCGAATCTCTAAAACTGCAGTTCCTGTCTATACACAAATATAGTCAACTCTTCATTCTAGTAAAATATTTTTACATTTTAAATACAATGAATAAAATATTTATTTTAATTTAAATGTAATAAATTAAGACAGACACAAGTACGTATTTGTGCTAATTTTACGTTTGCAATAGAAGTATAACTTCAAATTATTACTAACCAATGAACCGAAAAGTGAAATTTTTTTAAGTGTTTTGATATTCGGATTCTATTCAAAAAGACCTTTCAAATGATACCCCACATGCTATAGAAGATACAATCTAAAATTTTTGAAGTGAAACTTCTTTAAGCTCGTTTACTGCAAATTCATTAAAAGTGTATATTTTGTGGACAAATCACATAGTTAATTTTAGTATTTGATACAACTGACATGTACTTGAAAAAAAAAATCAATAACTTTTAGCATTCTGATATTTTTTGCATTTTAGTATGTCTTTCTATCTAATGTTTCTATTACAATATGATCATTTTTTGTGAAAATTGTTTTGTACTCGTCGAGACCTTTTAAACGATACCCCACAAGCCATACAATATGCAATCTAAAATTTTTGAAGCAAAACTTCTTTAAGCTCGTTTACTAAAAATGCGTAAAAAGTGTGTATTTTGCTTTCAAATCACATGTTTTCTTTTAGTACTTGCTACAAAAGTTTCATACTGGACATATTTAGAAAAAAAATGGACGAATTTAAACATTCTAATATTTTTTTGCAATATAATATGGTTATGCATATAATGTTTTTATTTGTATATAATGTATAAAATTCTTTTTTTTTGCGAGAATCATGTTCTACTCGTCGAGACTTTTTAAACGATACCCCACATGCTATAGAGGATACGATCTAAAATGTTTGAAGTAAAACTTCTTTAAGCTCGTTTACTACAAATTCATTAAAAGCGTATATTTTGTAGACAAATCACATAGTTAATGTCAGTTTTTGGATTCTTTTGAAAAGACTTTTCAAACCATACCCAACATGCCAAATAAACTCAATTTAATTTTTTTTATGTAAAACTTCTTCAAGTCGTTTATTAAAAATTCGTCAAAGGTATATATTTTGTGGACATATTACATAGTTAATTGTAGTATTCGGATTCTATTAAAAAATATCTTTCAAACGATACCCAACATGCCAAAAAACACAATCTTAAATTTTTTAAGTAAAACTTCTTTAAGCTCGTTTACTACAAATTCGTAAAACGTGTATATTTTGTGGACAAACCACATAGTTAATTGCAGTATTCGGATACTATTCAAAAATATCTTTTAAACGATACCCAACATGCCAAAAACCACAATCTAACATTTTTGAAGTAAAACTTCTTTAAGCTCGTTTAATAAAAATGCGCAAAAAGTGTATATTTAGTAGACAAATCACATAGTTTATTGCAATATTCGGATTCTATTCAAAAATACCTTTCAAACCATACCCAATCTGCCAAAAAAAACACTATTTAATTTTTTGAAGTAAAACTTCTTTAAGCTCGTTTACTAAAAATCTCTACAAACTTGCCTCAAGCCATAACACAATTTACAACTAGTCTTTTACCTTTCTAGCAAATGAATCCCCAGCAAAGCCAAAGGATGCGCCAGCAGATGTTAGCCCTGCAGCAGCAGCAGCAGCAGCAGGCCCAGCAGCAAGTCCAGCAGCAGGCGATGACCAACACTCAGCAGCAGGGAAGTCCTGCTCTGGTTGCACAGCTGCAAAGACAGCTGAATCAGCCGCAGCAGGCAATGATGAACAGTATTCGCATCAGCCGCCTCCGTATTAAAGAAACCGGTAAAAAAACAGTTTGAACAAAATTTGTAGCTTGATTTTCTTTTTATTTGTCTTGATTTTGTTAAATTAAATTTCATAAATATAAATTTTATAAAAACACAATTTTAAATTGACGTGGGAAAATTAGATTTTTTTTAATCGGGGTAATACATAGGGATAACAGCTCAATGTTATGGCAAGGCCATTGTTACGCTTTAACTTTCATATATTATGCTACTGAATCATACTGTCAAAATGTCGTGTATTTGCTGTGCATTCAGGCAGTTTTACACTGCAACGTCATAAAAGTAACAATCTAAAATTTTGAAGTAAAACTTCTTTAGACTGTTCTGTTACATGTGTAAATTTTGTGGACAAATCACTTAGTTAATTGCAATATCCGGATTCTATTCAAAAAGACCTTCCAAACGATACCCAACATGCCAAATAACACAATTTAATTTTTTAAAGTCACTCGTATGTTATGAAGCTGGGTCAGAAACACTCTGTTATCTAACATCGTTTTTTTGACGTTTGGGCGGTTTTTAGGTTACATTTTTTATGTGACAACTTGAGAAATACGCCTGACTGCATAGCAACCGCAATGGCTTTGTAAATATTAGTATGGAAAGTTCTTCATAACATGGCCTTTCCATAATATTTTTTGAAGTATAAATAGATCGCAATTTAAATTGTGTCCACACTCGATAGAGGCGCCACTAACTGTAGCACGTAAATTAACCCTTGGGTTTAATTCTAGATAAGATTTATTTAAATATATAATATAGATATACCTGGTTATTTTGAGAACAAAATATATGCGTGTAAAATATAAATTACAAATATGTTTTAACAAAAATATATATTAGAAAAAAAATTAAATGTTCAAAGCAGGGTTTCTCAAACTTTTGTCATTTGCGACCCCATTTATGATTGCGAGTTTGTTCAAACGACTTCACACAAATATAAAAAAAGGGAAATTATTATTTTTGATGATTATTTATTAAGAAACAACATACATATATACGTATGTCAATATATAGTTAGGGTCGCGCCCCATAGTTTAAGAAGCCATGATTAAAAGTGATGAAAAAAGTGATAAATTTGAGAATAGTACACGCTCTTTTTCCACCTTATTATTTTTTTTTGTTTGCTCATCAGTAGAGTCCCTTTTTTAATATCAGTTTGGTCGCCAGTAGAGTCCCTTTACAAAATATTCAATTTATTAAATCATGTTTGCTCGTCAGTAGAGTCCTTTTTTCATTTTCTGTTCTTTATTTATTTTTGTTCCTCAGTAGAGTCCTTTTTTCAATTGCCTTTAATATCAGTTTGGTTGCCAGTAGAGTCCCTTTACTAAATATTCACTTTATCAAATCAAGTTTGCTCGTCAGTAGAGTCCTCTTTTCATTTTTTGTCCTTCATTTATTTTTGTTCCTCAGTAAAGTCCTTTTTTCATTTTCTGTCCTTTATTTATTTTTGTTCCTCAGTAGAGTCCCTTTTCCATTTTGTCTTTTATTTTTAGTTTGCTCGTCAGTAGAGTCCTTTTTTCCATTTCCTGACAATTATTGACCAGTTTGCTTGTTAGTAGAGTCTTTTTTTCATTTCTTGTCTTCAATTTCAGTTTGCTTGTCAGTAAAGTCCTTTTTCCTTTTTTGTCTTTTATTTATTTTTGTTCCTCAGTAAAGTCCCTTTTTCATTTTTTGTCTTTCATTTTAGTTTGCTGAGTTCTTTTTTCATTTCTTGCCTTTTATTTAAGTCATTTTTTTCATTTCTTGTCGTTTATTCCATTTGCTCGTCAGTGGAGTCCTTTTCCATCTCTTATCTTTAATTTCAGTTTCCTTGTCAGTAGAGTCCTTTATTACTTTTATTATTTATAATGCTTATATTTTCGTGAAAATCATTTTCTACTCATCGAGACCTTTTAAACGATACCCCACAAGCCATACAATATACAATCTTAAATTTTTGAAGTAAAACTTCTTCAAGCTCGTTTAATAAAAATGCGTAAAAAGTGTGCATCTTATGGATAAATTACATAGTTAATTGCAGTATTCGGGTTCTATTCAAAAAGACCTTTCAAACGACACCCAACATGCTAAAAAAACACAATTTAAAATTTCTGAAGTAAAACTTCTTTAAGCTCGTTTACTACAAATTTATTAAAAGTGTATATTTTGTTGACAAATCTCATAATTAATTTTAGTATTTGTTACGAAAGTTTTACATCTCACATATTTAAAAAAAAATTGATGAATTTTAACATTCATTTAAATTTAATTAATTTATAAATTTATGTATTTAAATGATTACAAAATAATCATTTTTTCGTGAAAATCGTTTTCTACTCGTCGAGACCTCTTAAACGATACCCCACAATAAAAGATCATCGCCATAAAAGAAACGATCTAAAATTTTTGAAGTAAAACTTCTTTAAGCTTGTTTAGTAAAAATGCGTGAAAAGTGTATATTTTGTGGACAAATCACATAGTTAATTTCAGTATTTGTTACGAAAGTTTTATACTACACATATTTGAAAAACAATTCGATAAATTTTAACATTCTAATATTTTTTGCAATAAAGTTTTATATATTTATTACAATATGATCATTTTTTTGTGAAAATCGTCTTCTACTGGAGACCTTTTAAATGATACCCCAAAAGCCATAAAAGAAACGATCTAAAATTTTTGAAGTAAAACTTCTTTAGACTGCTCTGCTACAATTTATTGGTTTTTACTATCTTATTTTTCCTTTAAATTAGAAAATAAGCTTAATCGAGAATAAATTTTACAAATCTACAAATTTTTGGTTGTTACTATCTTATTTCACGTTAAAATAATATAATAAACTTATTCGAGAAAAAATCCATTAGCTTTGAAAATTGAGCGCAGTTAGACCCTCTGTTGAGTGCGGAGAACACTAAAAAGGAGGATAAAGCACATTTGTTCTTTATTAACATCTTAGGTTATTTATTTCAGAAAAAAACTGTTTAGGTGTAAAATACTCTTCCATGCCCTAAAACAAAGTTCAAAATTATTATTAAGACCAAAAATAAAACATTTTATTAGTACCCTTAATGATGTATTACCCCTAAATTAATATTACAAACTGACCGGGCTTTATAAAGTAGCATTGTCATGGCAACGCTGTCTTATGCTTGTTTCTTTTTCGTGAAACTGTGAAAATGTCTATCTATTTGCCGTGCAATCAGGCGTATTTTACATATAAACAAAGCAAGGAAGATGCATCATCGAAAATTCTGTTATCGAACATGCCCCCGTACTTGTTTTTTTGTAAAATACTCTTGATCGCACCGCAAATAGATAAACACTTTTACAGTTTCACTAACAAAAAACAAGCATAAGATAGCGCTATTTTATGAGGCAGAATTACCCCTTGAATTTTATATTTATTTACAAAATCAGGGATTAATTTAGGGATAAAATAAAAATGTTATGGTGGGTCTATCTTCGTATGAGTTTGTAGTAAAGTCAAAAAACTTTTTAGACTCATAAATTTAACTTTACGTATGTGTTATCAGAAAGTTGCACTTACCATAAAATTATTATTTGATGTTATTACGTTTTGGAGGTTAGGTTTTATATCTTTATGAAGTTTGTGCATTTTGAAGGTTAGGTTTAATGTGTTTATGACGTTTGTGCATTTTGGAGGTTATATTTTATGTGTAGCTTTTTATTACATAGATTTATGACAGTTTCTTACTACCGACTCATACGAAGATAGACCCACAATATAGCATTTATCCTAAATTTGACCTCTTGATCACTTTTAGCTAGTAATTAAATTGGATGTAAATTTTATGAGGCAGAATTTTCCCCTGAATTTGTATTTATTACTAAATTAAGGGTTAATTTAGGGATAAAATATAAATGTTATGGTGGGTCTATCTTCGTATGAGTTTGTAGTAATAAAAGTCAAAAAACTTTTAGACACCTTAAAATCTAACTTTACGTATGTGTTATCAGAAAGTTGCACTTATAATAAAATTGTTATTTTAAGTTTATGCATTTTGGAGGTTAGATTTAATGTGTTTATGAAGTTTGTGCATTTTGAAGGTTAGGTTTTATGTGTTTACGCAGCAAATACATAGATTTTTAACAGTTTCTTACTACCGACTCATACGAAGATAGACCCACAATACAGCATTTCTATTTTATCCTAAATTTGACCACTTGATCACTTTTAGCTAGTAATTAAATTGGATGTAAATTTTATGAGGCAGAATTTCCCCTGAATTTGTATTTATTTACAAAATTAAGGGTTAATTTAGGGATAAAATATAAATGTTATGGTGGGTCTATCTTCGTATGAGTTTGTAGTAATAAAAGTCAAAAAACTTTTAGACACCTTAAAATCTAACTTTACGTATGTGTTATCAGAAAGTTGCACTTATAATAAAATTGTTATTTTAAGTTTATGCATTTTGGAGGTTAGATTTAATGTGTTTTATGAAGTTTTGTGCATTTTGAAGGTTAGGTTTTATGTGTTTACGCAGCAAATACATAGATTTTTTACAGTTTCTTACTACCGACTCATACGAAATAGACCCACAATACAGCATTTCTATTTTATCCTAAATTTGACCACTTGATCACTTTTAGCTAGTAATTAAATTGGATGTAAATTTTATGAGGCAGAATTTTCCCCTGAATTTGTATTTATTTACAAAATTAAGGGTTAATTTAGGGATAAAATATAAATGTTATGGTGGGTCTATCTTCGTATGAGTTTGTAGTAATAAAAGTCAAAAAACTTTTAGACACCTTAAAATCTAACTTTACGTATGTGTTATCAGAAAGTTGCACTTATAATAAAATTGTTATTTTACATTTGTACCTTTTGGAGGTTATGTTTTATGTGTTTTCGCACCAAATACATAGATTTGTAACAGTTTCTTACTACCAACTCATACACAGATAGACCCGTAACATTTCTTTTTTATCCTAGAATTTTTATTTGAAGTTTGTGCATTTTGGAGGTTAGGCTTTATGTGTTTACGCACCAAATACATAGATTT